TGTCTCCATATTTGACAACTCTCAAAGGATTAAAAAACTGCAAAAACTGCTGGGTTAAGGCCTGTGTTTGAATTAAGCATGATGGAAATCTTGCTTTACCTGGACATCTGTCACTACTGTGGCTCTAAGTTTGGAAACTTTTTATCGTGGAGATACATAGCAAAATCATATAGGAGAAAGGAGTAAAATTATAATTCAAATGAACCTCAGACCATGGGGTTTTCCAGACCCTAAACTCTGAATGTTAGTGAATTCATATCACTCTAAGGAATTACATCTCTTTGTCCCCACACACTTGTTGCCATGACTATGTTGTTATTTTTTTTCAACCTTGGATATTTCCTCTTCTCATGAAGGGCTGAAGAGCTGACCCTACAGAACCACAAAATTAAAATGTGTGTTTAAATTTTAAATTAAAATTTAAAAAAGTGTGTGTGGCACAGTTCTTGTGATAGAATAAATGCAGGTCAAATTTCCTGCTATTCCTCAAATTCTCTGTATTCCACAAATTATCTGTATGGCCTTTGTTCAGCCTAAAATGAGAGGATCTTTCTCCAGCCATGAGGTGGGTGGGTATGGAGCACTTTTTATTTTAATACTATGCCATAGCCTGACACATATGTATTATACTACTATTTTTAAGTTTCATCAATAACAGAAATGAAGAAAACTATAGAGCAAAGACTGGAGCCTCCTCAAGTCCCTTCCCACTCGAATTGCTCTGTTCTACAGAGATCCTGAAGGTTTTGATGTCTCTCTTTTGATGTTATAAAATAACAGCATTTCCCTGCCACTGCTGAGGGTTGTGAAGCAGCGTGGAAAGAGTAAGGGCTTCAAACCCCTGGCAATTAAGTCATGCTGCTTTCACAGGTTCATTATTTAATATTAGCCAGAGTGCAGTTCTATGAGAAACAACTGCACAAAAAAAAAAAATAATAATCAATATGCTTGTAGAAGCTCTAAGGTTTGGGGGGGGTTGACTTGTTTTGTTTTGTTTTGTTTTGTTTTGCTTTTTTTAATTTAAGACTGCAATAAAACATTTGGAAAAGCTGTGCTGTCACTTCACCCTATATATTCAGGGATGGAAATAAAATATATTGTAAAATGGATATAAAATATATATATTCAACCCCAAAACAGCATCATCTGCTGATCTGTACCCAAGGGTAATTAAGCACTAGTTGATGCTGAAAACAATGTTGCAACTGGATAGGCAGCAAATTAATTAATCTACAGATAATTTGCATAGTGAAATTAAGGCAGCTCTCCTAGAGGAGTAGAAACCTACAAGAGTGAAGTGAAATAAATTATTTAGAAAACAGGCAGCAAACACAGTAACCTGGCTGAAGCCACTGGAGCACAGAAGAAATAATCTCTCAGAGACAGAGGTGATGTGGGACCTGTGGGAATGAAGTACTGGACTATAAATTAGTCTCATAAACCTTGTAGTAAATTGCACTTGCTATTTGTAATGCTAAACAGTGGATTATTCTTTTTTTTTCCTCAAATATGGGAAAATTCTTATTCAAATGTAATGCAGCTTTTAGATGTGGAAGTGACCTACCAGCTTAAATAGGAACCTTTTTTTTTTTGGCGAGATGTAAGTTCTGATCTCCCTGTTTGACTTAAAATTTAACATGTGAAAACTGGGTCATCTGATTTGTCATAGTTCTTTTGGGATGGCTGCTCTTTCTAACTTAATGTTGTTTGGTTTTTTGGATTGTTTTTTTATTTAAATACCAATGTGGAACCAGCCCAGAATATCAGTATATTTCATTCTACAGGCCATCCAAACTGTATTCACCTTTTTAAATAGGTGCTCATCCGTGTGGGAAGACTTCTAGTGTTGAAAGATTTGCCTAAGACTCAGGACAAAAAATCTGTTTTTGTGGAGATAAATAGGATTGACACCTGAAACACAGGTTTTCTGCTATTTCTTACCACCTTCTTAGTTTCATTTCATTCCCAGGGCTGAAAAAGCACTTCAGCCTGTATCACCTTTCTGGTTTGCAGCATCCCCACACTCTTGGCCATGGTTTAGCATCTGGGACAGAGGGAGACAGGAAAGACAAAAGACTTCGATGAAACAAAGAGAAAACTCTAATTCACTGAGTATCCAAGTGTCTTACTTCTTACAGAAATCGTCTGGGAAGCCAGCATTCAATTTCCCATGACAAAATTCTCTCTGCAATTTTTGTAGGCCTCCTAAGTGAATCAGATCAGTGGAAATAATAATAATACTTTATTAGCCAAAGACACCAATTTCTACATTTGGCCCATAGAAAGTTTTCTCTATTTAATTTTTCAGTTCTCTCTAGGGAGTGACACAGAGAATTAATTTTTTTTTGTTTTGTTTTGAGACAAATTTCCAGAAATTTTAAAATGCCTAGCCACCAAAAATATAGAAAATTCTAAGCTACATAGCAAGTTCAGACAACTAGAACACAAACTGAGAAAAGAAAAAAAAGAGAACCAAGCTCCTTATGCACAGCAAACTTAAGGAATTTTTTTTCAGATTCAGAGAAAAAACTGAGGGCCAAAATGTGGTGGAAGTCAACATGATGTTAAGCTGGAACTTTCTTGTGTTTCTACTTTCATTTTCCTAATCATTTTCATGGTGAAATCTTTTGAAGTCATTGTTTCAAATCCCCTGTCTTTACAGTCATTTTTTTTAGGTTCACTCACTAAATCAAATAGAAGGTTTTGCCAAAAACCAAATATTTCACGGTAAGCATTCAGTTTTGGATGTATTGATTTTTTCCAAGGAATAATTTTAATTCAATTAACATAGGCAGAACATGGTTCTTTTGACCAAACTAATAGAAGTAAAATTTTAAATAATTTGTTTTTCCTGGTTGGTTGGGCTCTGGTTCTGATCCATTTCATGAAATGACAGAGAGTTTTTGTAAAAGCTTTGTAAAAATTTTGTAAAATTTTGTAAAAAATTGTGCACCTAGAGAAAGGTTTTGTGGTGTTCCATTCCTGTGGCACTGCCTCACTGGGGAGATTTATATAATTATGTCATTTCTTCCATTCTGTGAGTTTGCCTCTTGAACGAGGGTAAGTTATTTACCTCCCACTGTGTTTTGGCAATTCCAACTGCAACTTACATTGCAGTAATTCTAACTTTCAGTGCCTGTTCTACCTGGTGTCAAGTCACCCTGGCTCCCAAATGTGTAACTAACCCCCTAATTTCTTTGCTACAATGAAAAACTTTTGCTCGGTTCCTGCACCAAGGGCTCCGGTTGCAAAAAGAGATTAAGAGGAAACTGCTCAGAAATTCCTCAGGCACCCCCAGGGTAAAGGCAGACATTTGTCTTTCCCTGCAGCAGGGGTTTGGAAGCCTTTAAATATGGGTATCTCCAGATTTCCAGTACTTATTTTTGTAATATCTAAGTCTAAAAATAAAATAAAATAAAATAAAATAAAATAAAATAAAATAAAATAAAATAAAATAAAATAAAATAATATAAAATATAAAATATAAAATATAAAATATAAAATATAATATAAAATATAAAATAAAATATAAAACAACAAAATGAAATAAAATCAATAAAATAAAACAAAAAATAAAATAAAATAAAACATAAAATATAAAACAATAAAATAAAATAAAATCAATAAAGTAAAACAATAAAATATAAAATAAAAATAAAATAAAATAAAATAAAATAAAATAAAATAATAAAATATAAAACAAAATAAAATAAAATCAGAATTTCCACTGAAGTTCTGGACCCTAAATAACCTCCGTGGCTTTTTCTTATTCACCCTGTCATTTGGCTGTCAACTTTAATTCCTCCACTGATCTTTCTTTTGTGAATAGAGGAGCACAATTTAAGCTCTTGTGCTTTTAACTGAACAAGTAAACATAATGTCCAACTCAATTAACTGAGTTACCAGCATGCCTTCCTGTCCAAAGACTAAATTAGAATGGGAGAAAGTAAGGAAAACACCCAGTGTGGTCTCGTCAGATTTATCTAAATAACAGGTTAAGAGAAGGACAAATTTATAATTAGATGTATTTTTGTTTCACACGCACCTTGCTGGCTCCATAATTTACATCTTGCTTTCATTAAAAATAGATGCAGCTGTCAGAGCATCAGCACACACCCTGCACATTCCATACCTGCCCTGAACATAACATTTGTTCAGAGTTGCAGTTTTCTTGGCCATCTAAACACTTCTATTCCACGCTCACAGTTACAAAAAAACAGTGAAATCCCTCCTGCCATTTTTCAGGAATTAGGTGTGGCATCAGCTGTCATCGCAGGGAACCAGGCAAATAAAACAGATTTACATGGGGACCAAGGCACCAAGTTTTCTCATTCACTGATAAAAGGTAGGACAAACCTCTGGATCAGACACTGTGTATCACATTCATTAATTATCAGGTTAATTAGTTTTGGCAGAAATCAGGCCTTCCTATTCTGATTGAAGTTTTTCGTGTCACTTCACACTCAAGGACACATTCAAAGCTTCGGAAGAAGTACTCTGCCAAAATCTGTTCCTTGGTGTTGCATGACTGGGGATTCAGGTCTTGTTGGTTTGGCACAGAGTGCAGGATATTTATTCAAAATTATTTATTATTTCTGCCTCAAAGTTATTAGTGGTAGAAAGCTGCATATTCATATGTAGCTTACCCAACCGTAAGGAGATGTGTACACTGGCAGGGACAATGCTTTTATATTCTGCTCTGCTCACTGTGCTCATTTCCCCCTTTCCACCCCAATTCTTCACTGACTGTACCTTCATTGACCCTCATGTTCACAGTCTAAAATCATAATGTGAAAAACGTGTGGTGGTGGCATCTAAATGTTTAAGCATGAGCTTAATTTTAGCAAGTAGTGGTGCTGCTCTTTCTGAGAGCTAGACCAGCTGAGAATTGAAAAGCATTAAAAGTGAGTATGAACCTCTAGAATAAAATGGTACAGTAGAAAAAGAGTTGAATATATATATTTATTTTTTTAAAACTCTGATAAGTTCTGCCAGGCAACAACAACAACAACAAAAAAACCAAAGTGGAGTGGAGTTTTATGTATTTCAGTAGTAGAACAAGCTGCTCAGGTAAATCTGTTTATACTGATTGAACCCATGAAAGAGCATCTCTCTGTGGAGGTCTTCTCTCTTCTAAAAAGGAATGCAGGAACATAACACAGTACTGAAAAACACTCAGGGAAAGCCAGCTGGTAGAAAAGATCTGTGCCCCCTAGACAACTTCTGTTGCAATTCTACCCCAGTGACTAAATCAGAACTTCCCTGCCTTTGAAGACAGAGACAAAAGGCTGGGAAGTTTTCAGATGATGCAGTTTCAGTGTCCATGAGGGTTCTAAAGTTTGCATCAGCTGTATACACAAGCTGAGTGTGGCTCTTCTCTCTGACACTGCTTGGCCAAACAGTGGGCTGAGATTTATTGCTGGCTTTGGGTCAGTGGTTTTTTATTTCCATCCCTGGAGATTCATCCCACCAATTTGTCTGTGTAGTCCCTAAAAAATGTCCTGTGGGTCAAGGCATGTTTCTTCCATCGTGGGTCTAAACAGCCCTGATAAAACCGGGATCTGAATTTAAATTAAGTTTTTGGGTGGGAATTTAAATTCATCCTAAATTAATTGTTATTGATTAATACATTTTTGCCCTCCTGGTTTGTGGGTTTTTTGGGGGGGTTTTGTTGTAGTTGTTGATGGGGTAGGGTTTTTTTTCTTTATTCATGTGGCACATTCTTATTGGATATGAGAACTTAATGCCTCTGACATGGCCAGAAACTTTTCTATAAAATTCCCTCAGACTTCTTCTTTCAGTCCTCCCTTCTGATCATGGAATGTGGAAAAGAAGCCTCACTCTGTGCCTTGGAAAAGGACAAGGGCAAAATTCCATCAACTGAAGAGAGAAAAGGAAAGAAAGGAAGAAAGGCAAAAATAAGAAAAATCCTCAAACAAGCCACCTTCTGTTTCTTTGGCTCCAAATGCCCAAGGGAGATTGTAGGAAATCAGAAATATTTCTGATATTTAGTCAAATTGTTTAACAGGGTTACCTAAAAATGCTTTCATCATTTATAAAGTGCCCTACATATGTTATTTTCTGGAGATTCTGTAAGGAGAAAAGTGGTTAGTAGTTTTTTCTGAAATTCCAGCATTGTCAAATAAAAGAATCTTTTCATTTTCCATGAATGCTGGACGTGCCAGGGTTTGGACTTTCCTTGTGAATGTGTGCAAAATCAACAAATGGGTTGGAACCAAAAAAAAGATAAAGCAAGCCAGAACTTCAGCTGGGGTAAATCATCATTGTCTTAAATTTCTGTGGGTTGGATCTTAGAGATCTAATGCCAAAATGATAGTTAAACAAGCCACATATTATTGGGTGGAAACTTCTGTTGTTTTTAATAAAAGTAAACACTGACAGGCACTGAAAGCTCTCAGGTTTTTTTCTAAACTGGAAAATCTACAGAAGTGTATACTAGAAAATCACAAACGATCCAAGATTGAAAATGGGATATTTTTCTTTTTATATATATATAAATGGGAGGAATTATATTTATATATTTATATATAAATATATAAATATATAAATTATAAACATATATAATTATATAATATATTACTATTATATATTAATATAATATATTATAATATATAAATATATAAATATAAATATAATAATTTTATATATATATATAAGTGGGAGGAAGGCAGAGTTGTGTGGGTTACAGAATTTGGCATATAATTTCTTTACTACATTTTATAAATGGAGATACAAAGAAGGTTCGAATTCCCAAACTTGTGGTAGAAAAAACTCTTGCCAGGTTTCCTGCATCTCAGTTCTCTCTGAGGAGCATAAACTACTGGCTTTGTTATATTTGAGGAGTAAAAATAATAATCTGGTTGGTTTGTTTTGTAATGGAAGTGGATTTTCCTGTAAGGTTTCTAGGTGATAAAGAGGTGTGCCAAAATTACAGCTGATAACAAAGGTGGACAAATTTTTCAGCTGCAGCAAGAGGAAGGGAAAAGAAACATTTTTCAGGACTGTTTTCAACCCATTCAGTTTTCCCTAACTTGTGTAAATATGTTTGTAGACACAGGAACTGAATCTTGTGTCAGCTCCCAGAATCTTATAGCCCATGTATGAACAATAGCAGCCTTTGTTTTCAGGGTGTTTCTCTCCAACTCACAAACAATTTTGAAAAAAACTACTGGAATATTTTTCCTCATCAGCCTCTAAAATAATTTTGGGCAAAAACTGACATGCCACATTATATATTTGGTATTTATCTTGTTTGTTATTGAGTATCCTCATGACTCTGCAATCTGACTTGACAACAGAAAGTTCTTTTACCCATAAGATTTACAGTTTACTGCCCAGAGAAAATTTTCAGTCACGGATGCTTGTGTTTTAGAAGTCTTGGTTTTGCTGCAGAAAGTGGAGAACACCAAATTAATAGTTTGTGCATCTATTTAAAACAACTCTGCATCCAGTTTTGGAAAGACCTGTGCAACCACTGTATGTTAAATGGATTATACTAGAAGGTACACTGCCTCTATTAAGAAGTAACTCATTAGAATTTGTGTTAAATATTAAGAATTAATACACTTACCTACACACATAAGTATTCTGTCTATGTAAAGCCCAAATGCTGAAGGAAGAAATAAAAAGGAGCCATTAGTGGACTCAAATACATTAAGGAAAGCTGAAATAAGTGTTTTGTAAATAATTATCTACATCTTGAAAACACCTCCTGACCTTTTACATATAGAGAGAGAGATTGTAAATTTAATTTACAATTTAATTATTTGCTAAAGTACCTGAATGCTTGTTTAGCACCATCACATACAGACATGGCCAAGCTCTATAAACACCATGACTCTAATTAAAGTATGTAAAATAGACCTGGATATGCCTTATTGTTGTTGTTGTTGTTGTTGTCTTTTTTCTTTAAAGGGTTTTGTTGTTGTTGTTTTATTTGGTTTTGGTTTGTTGTTTTTTTTCCCTTCTGAATTGAATGACTGCAATGGGAGGTATTTTGAGCTGGGTACGTCTGCCACTCGATATATTTGTGGAATTTTAATTTATTTGCTTCCCATGCTCCTTCTTTGAGGGCTAGTCTGGATTGTGTCTGTGCAGCAGAGTTTCGTATTTCACACCTGGTGTCTGCTGAGGTGGATACTGGAAATAAAGAGTGTAACATTTCCATCCACGCCTTCTCTGTAATCCTCACTGCATTTCCATCGAGCTGTCTGGTCCCAGTAGTGCACCTGAGAGTTTTCCTGGGAGAAAAGACATGGAGCACAACTGCTGGCATGCCCTGAATCAGCTTAAACTCCACTGAAGCTTGTGTTTTGACTGTAGCTCCACCTAGATGCTCCAGCCCTGCCTTGCTGGCAGCTTGACAGGCACCTGAAAAATGTTGCTTCAAAGAGTGAGAGGCAGCAACCTTCCTGACTGAAGACGTCGCTCTGAATCACTTGTGGCTTTTGGGAGGACTTTAATGGCTGTTTACACCACTTATAAACACAAAGAAATGGACTTGGCATGCTGTGTTCTGTGAACACCCTGCCTGTCACACGCGAAACAAAAAGGATCCACCAGCTCAGGGAGAGGAGAGTGGTGGTGTCTGGAACATACCAGGAAGACACCACCTAGGAAGCAGCTGAAAGAGCAGATCTCACAGAACAGATTGGGACATTCCTAGTGGATCCATCCATTTTTTCAGTCCCTCAACTCGCTCTGAGGATGCAGAGGGTCTGCTATGGACCTGAGGGAAGGGAAGCCCTCAGACTGGTGGTTGCACAGCCCATGAGGAACTTCTTTGGAGGCTGTGAGAATACACAAACACATGAAGTCCTCTGTAGAAAGCACAAATTTTTTTTCCCTACGTTTTTGTTATTCATGAGAAAGGGCAAAAATTTGGGAAGATTAAATAAAAACTCAATGATAAAACACTTTCTCTGCTGCCTCCTAGCCTATTTGCACTTCTTTCAGCATTCCTGGGCTACTCTTCCTGCTCTTCAGAGAGGTGAGCTTTCTGCCTCCTTTATCTTTTTTACTTTGTAGGCACCTAAAGAAAGGAAAATTAGGTATGTTCTTGCTCATTTATTCTGCATGGTCAGCCTCCTTCAGTTTATCAAGTGCAGCAATCAGCAGCTATCGAAATCCACCTACTGTATATGAAGCCCAAATCTCAGAAATTAAAATCAACAAAAAAATTTTCTTCTTTCTCAGTAGATCTGTCTAACATCCAGGTACCTTTATGAAACGCACAGAAAAAAGTACTACCCCTGTATGATGACATCTCTTCCCTTATCCCTCGTGATTTTGGACATACCTATCATATCCATTTTGCTTTACCACCTTTTTCAAAGTTTCAAAGAGTCATATATGACTGCTTTTATGAAAGCTGTTTCATTTTTTTTATTTTTTTTTAACTAGCCTTTTCTCTGTTTTTCGTTTTCTTTCTAGTTCTTACATGGTGTTGCAGATGATGGTCATTTTAAGACAGAGGCTAAAAGTGCCCTGCCATCATCATCATCATCATCATCATCAATCATTTGTGTTTGGGTTTCCTTATTTGCAAAATTGTCTGTCCTGCTTCAGGCTGAGCTGTTTCAGCTGCCAGTTCCACCTACTCAGCTGCACTTGGCAAAGTTGGTCCCTGGTCTCAGGGAATTCTGTGTCACACTGAAACCAGTGTTGATCTCTTTAATGGCCTGTTGCATTCATTGCTGTTCTGGTTTCTCCAATGCTAACACATGTCTAACATTTAATTCCTATTTTTCACAGGCACATGTGCGTATCTACAGCAGCCTCAAGAGAAAAATACGGATTACAAAATGCTGAAATCACAAATTCTATTCTTTGCTTCAGATATCACCTGGAAAGGTAACCCATCTTGTCCTAAACCCATTTGGAAAACAAATTTTTTCAGGAAACCTGATCCTAAACTCTTATGTTACCAACACCTTCATATTCCCCCTTTTGCTCTCCTGGGTCTGCTTTTGGCTTAATATACTTTTTGCTGTCACTGCCTGAGCTGCAGCTGAGCTGACTGTTTTAGCCATGCAGGACATCCTAACATATTCAAGGCTGGAATTTCTTCTGGGAATGGCATAAAATTGGAGGCTTTGCTGAGGTCAGGGACAATTGAGCTGTAAGTGTTCATAAAAACTTTAAATTGAAAATATGTAGCTGAGGGAAGTGGGAGCAGATTTATTTGGTTTTACTGTTACCAATTTTATCTGGGACAATTCCAGTTCATACAAGTTTAGCAAAGAAAATGCTACAACTTTGGAGGGGATCAGAAATATTTTTGTGTTTTGTTTGCATCAGTAGGACCCAAACCAAGTTTCAAGTTCCTTGTAATGCTGATATACTTCTTGGCACTGAAAACCAGGGAAGGGATTTTTATTTTTTTTTTCTTTTAAAAAGTATAACAAAGCTGAGAATTTCAGTGTCTTCAAGGAAGAAGCAGAACAGGAAAGTAAATGTGACATCATGAAACATAAAGTTTTGGCAGCTCCAGGATTTCTTTGGATTTGTTACTTCACCCAAATCTGCAATTTACCCATACTCTTAACTCTTCAGCTACAGGAGAGTATTTCCCCTGTTTAGTACCTCCCATTGCTTTAAATTAAGACCTCAAAAATCCATAATTTTCAGTGAGTGTGTTTTTTCTCTGCTCACTGTCAACACTGTGGAATGCCACATTCACACAGCTGGGGTCTTGTTCTTGTTGGTAATTGCTGTAATGATTTGGAAGCATAAGAGACTACCACAAGGGTGTGAATATTCCCCAATTTATGCTTTAATATTACATGAAACCCCTGTGTGCTCACCACCTCAAAGATTTTAACAAACAATAAAGGAAATAAAAAGGAGTAACTGCACCAGCTCAGACCATCAAGTAACTCCCTGCAGCTCAGGACAAAACAGATCGTTTGTAAGTGGTTCTTTTCCTTGAATGGTGTCTGAGTAAAGCTCCTGCTTATCTTGGTGCTAGAAAGTAGGAAGTGGGTATTTCAGGGAAAGATGAATCAATAACTCTTCATTTCATTGTCATGTTCTCAGCTTCTGCTGGCTTCAGGTTTGACAGGAAGGTTTAAACATATGTTTAAAATTAGGTGCTTACTACAAGAGTTTGTTCTAAACAAAACTCCAGTTTAACTGCAAACCCTTTTTGTTGGTGATATTGTGAAGCAGGTCAGACTGCTGGACTAAGCTATTCCTGTTTGACAAATAGTTGTTTTCTGCTAAATCTTCATGCTGTGAGTCTCAGAGGAAAAGAAAGCCAGAAAATTAGTAAGTCAGGAAAGAAAGCAGTCACTTTTGTGACACACTAAATTTTAATGTACACACTAAAATCAGGGCCAAAGAAGCTATGCATGAATGCATTCTGAAAACCTCATGGCCATGGTAGAAGTGAAAATTACAGGACATGCCCAAGGTCGTAACAGAAGGAAAAAAACAAAATAATTTGTGATAAGGTCAGGATTTCAACCCAAATTTAATGAGTTTTTTCGTCACCTGTGACAAACGAGACAATTTCAGACTCTAAGGCGCCTGAGTTTGGTCAGAGAGGGGAAGGGAGAGTGGAAACATGCTAATTAATGGGAACTACGATTGCATGAAGACATTCCCCTTCCTGGGACATGACTTTGCCTTCTAACAGATGGCCACAATTTATTGCCTCTCTTTTACCCCTTTCCCTTGGCACAGTGTGGCTTGCAGCTGCCTTAAGTGTCAGAAGGGTGAGTTTGTCACTCCAGAGCATCGTGTTGAAAGCAAGTAAGAGAACTCTCACACTTATTTAGCTGGTGTGTGCTTTGTTTGAAGACTGCATGCATTTAAGAAATTCAGGAAGTTATGAAAAGTAAGGGGCTTGAGGATGGGCAATGAGCTTCCAGCTAAAACTTGATTTTCACAGCTCACCATGAAAGTGATTAATGTACTTATGAAAGTGATTAATATACTTCTCCATTTTTTTGGGGAATGGAAGAAACTGAGGGCTGGGAGGCGAAAAGCAGACTTAAAACACTCCAGAGTTATGGGATTAGAGTAAGCTTAAAAGACCACAGGCCTCAAGAACTGTGGCAGCTCATCAAATACACCTTTCAGCCTCTATGAGGTAAAGCTGCAGCTTGGGTTTCTGTGGAAGTCCCTTCTCTGGATTGGGAATGGTGTAAGGATGGACCAAAAGCCTGTCTTGTACTTCAAGAGAGTCCTGAGAGACAGGCATGGGAAGATACTATTCTTTCTGTGCCGAACAAGCAGCCACGTGAAAAACTCCCTCTGACTGGGACAGAGGCTGCCTTGCAAAGCCCGTATTTAAATGTGTGTTATTTTCCCATTTTAAATCTGTTTTTTACTTGTGAGTTCTAAAACCAGGAATGTGGCAGCTTGGGATTTTTTTTCAGGTGGCAAAAGCCAGTCCCAGAGCAAGTGGTGAGATTGTTTCCATGGAAAGAATAGACATGTAGTAGCAGATATTTATATATATAAGGTAGGATGCACAGGACAGTGGAGAAGGGAGGTGTTTAAAAGCAGTGTTTACATTTTTTTTGTTTTAGCAGAAGCCCTTTTAGAGGGATGTCCTCCAAAATACAGCTAAACTCTTCAGATCAAGTTCCACAGTCACAGCCT